CAAGTGATTGAGGAGAAGGCCGACGCGCGACATGCACTGAAATGCCAAAATTTTAATTAATAGGCAGCAGTCTCTCTACTATTGTTGTTGTTGTTGTTCTTGGTGTTGTTGTTGTTGCTGTGGCTTGTGTGCGTGTCACGTTGTCAAACAAAATGTAAAACCAACACGAGCAAACAACAAACAAACTGCGCGCATGGCGGTAGCCGGGGGCTCTGGCATTTCGCTTGAACATTTTTTAATTAAAAATTCTATTAGTGCTGCTTTCTAATTAAAATCGATGCCAATAGCAGCAGCAGAAGCAGCAGCAGCAGCAGTAGCATTTGCTAGGGTCTCAGATTAGTTCATAGCATTAAAGCCATTGCCATTTTAACTTTAATGGCCATCAGCAAAATAGTTGGGAGACAACAGGAGCCAAACACAATGGACTCGCCGGCATGCGAGTCGCTTTTTGCCCCGCACATGACTGACAATTGGCCAACATTTCCGCTGGGAATGGCCAACGTTATCGTCATCGATATGGCCCATTGCGACGGCGATTGCAGATTGCCGATTGCTGATTGTCGATTGGCAATTTCGATTGCATTTTGACGTTTTGCACTTGGCTGCCACCCTGCCAATTGAGCAGCCAAATTGGCTATCAATGAGCCCGAGCTGCCTTCCCATCAATGGCAACAAATTGTAACTGGAAGCGCCTGCTACCCGAAGCGACTCCAAGTGCTTTTTTGTTGCCTGCATTTGAGTCTGCAGTTGCTCGTTTTACTCTCCTGCTTTTGTTCACTCTGATGGCCTGCCAAGGCAAAACGAAATCTGTATTGCAATCAGAGCTCAGACAATTAGGTTAGCTCGAGGCTATTCCTAAATCAGAGCAAAGCACATTGATGGCTGCCTGAGCACAGTCTGAGAGATCGAATAGAGAGTCTAGTGACAAGAGCTCAAGTCAGTTTCTCAACTGCCTTGCTCAGATCTTTAGAGAGTTGAGCTTAGTTCTCTGGCTCCAGTTACGTTGCAGAGCGAACTGATGATCATTACGCAAATACAAAGCCAAGCAAAACGAATTAATTGACAAGCAAATGGAAATTAAAGGAAAGTAATTGAATTAGCTAAGCCTTTTGGTGCCTGGCTGCCTGGCTGTCACGCTGACCCACTTTATAGTGGTGCAGTAGCCAGCGTGGCTTACATTAAACTCCCTGATTACAAGGGAGTGCATGGAAATGCAAATCGAGACTCGACTCGTTGCTCACATTTTTAGTTGTCAAAAGAAATATTCCACCAGTCAAACGTTATTCAAATGAGTTCCGCTCACAGACAGTTGTCCGGCGTTGATTGCACCAAAAAAAAAAAAAAAAAACACACACACATATATATACACACACACACAGGGAAGTTACTCAAAGGCGCACACATACACTGACATAAATCATTTAGCTCAATTGAATATGAAAAATCCCTTCCGTTCTGTTGTCATATATGCTGTTTCCGGTTTCCGCAACCGCAGCTCAAGCGCCGTCACTGTCCTTGTCGTCCTTTGGGCTGATTTTCCTTTATTTTCACTTTTCTTCCACATATATACGTTTCCTTTTTTTCTGTGTGTGATTTGCCCAAAGGCAGGCAGCAGCAAACAGCTCATTAATTTTACGCCATGCTCCGGCATTTCTCACTACATCACTCTGCCCAAGCCTTGACTCTTGCAGTCTCCCCCTCTCGCTCTCTTTATCGCTCCTCTCTCTATCTCACTCGCTTTGTCTGTTTTGCATGTGCCTGGGTCTTCGTAGACATTTTTCGTTGCACGCACAGACACACTCGCATATCCTATATGAAAATAGCTCACAAAATTTGTCGAAAATTTCGCACACAGCATGGTTGGCCAGAAAACTCATTAAAATGTCACTGAAATGTTCAAATTTTAATTAAAATACATAAACAATAACATTTATTTTTCGGGCTGTCAGCACTAGGCAAGAATGCAATAAAAATGCAGGCAGGAGCCGGGCCGAAGATGGGCAAAAAATCACAGACTCTGCCTTGAAGCCAAATTGAATAGGCTCATGTGTGTGCATGCAAGTGTGTGTGCTTGTACGTGCGTATGTGTGTGCGTGTGTGTGTTCGCAGCAATAATTTAGATAGGCTGTGTATGCTGGCTGCTGATGCGTTCTACAACTGTAATAATATTTACGCTTAGTTGCGGCAGCATTAAAATAATATAAACAACCGAGCATAATGATAATAAAATAATATATTCACATAGTTGGGCATAAATAGTTGTGCAATGTACACACGCACAAACAACGAGAAAATAGTGCGTCGAATGCATTCCGTCTCTATCTGGCATCTGCAAATTTATCAAGCTTCTTCTTAGCTAACACAGCCCCAAAAAGTATGCTACGCTTTTTAGCATGCTTTATTTTCTTACAATTTGTGCTGGCAATTTGTATATTGCGAATTTATGATTGCTTAGCATACAGTACATATGTAGGTATATGTGTTGCCTGTGGCTACACACACACACACACACACACACAGACACACGCACAGCCACTCACGCATTCAGTGCTGTGCAGGTGTTGAAGCGCAGTGTTGGCAGCTGCCCAGTTGCCGCCTTTGTGACAACACTTTCATTAAATTCAACACTAGAGCTTGTCATATAAATTCCACATCTATGTATATGTGCTCGGTTATGCTTATTTTCATTTATCATAAATTTGCATAAACACTCCGCATGCAGCTGACACAAAAACCTGGGTCCACGTGCGAGCTTCTCTTCTTCGCTTTCAAATATAACATTGTTTAATAACAAATTAATTTTCTCATATATTTAAATTGAGTGCAATGTTACCTTTAATTAATAAGCTGTACTTGCCTTGAGCTAAATTGTTTGACATTTTCATATTTAAGTTTTCCCACAGTCCATTTAGGAATTTTTACTCTTGACCGCTGTCAAGAAATCTCGTTTTAGTTTCTTATACTTTTCAGCCAAGTTTCTCGTTAAACATTTCCCTTCCATTTGCTGTGTTGAAATTAAGGAAAACTTTCAGTTATTTTCTTTTTTCTTTTTGTTATTAATCAGCTTGCCACTTTTTTGCCCCAATTAAAATGACAAGAGCGCCGGTTCTGACTTCTCCGGAGACTTTCGAGCCGGAGCATAGAGAAATAAATGCACGCTCCGAGTGATAAATAAGCTGCAATTTGCGTTGACATTTTGAAGCGTGCTGCGTGCCAAGGAAAGTGATTTTAATTTTTAATGAGTTCAAGACGCCCGGTGCTGATTAAGTGCGTTTATTTTTCCAGCTAACAATTCCCAAGGTAAATAGACACAGCCAAGGCAAGCTGCTATCTGTGCATGAGTCTGTGTATGTGTGAGTCTGTGCATGTGTTTGTGTCTCTCGCTGTGTGTGTGTGTGTGTGTGTGTGTGTGTGTGTGTGTGTGTGTGTGTGTGTGTCGTGTCTTGACGGTCTGTTTCTATGCAAACAAATCAATCGTCGTGAATGTTGTTGTTCATTTGACCGTAATATAGTTGGAGGATTTCATTAGCACAACATTTGACACAACACAAACACACGCAAAGAATCAACAATGGGCCCGCAGGGCGTGGCCACTTATCAGGTTCAACATGCCCAAACACATGGCATACATTATAGCCATGTTAACATAGTTTCCTTGCGGGCCCCGCCAATCACAGACTCGGAGAAATATGTACCCAAATAGCCCAGCCACAACATGCTTCATTTGTTTTTACTGCCAAACTGGGAAAACTTTCCTTTGCTCGTCTGCTTCTTCTTCGCAGCTAGTATATATACCATTAGTATATACTGTGCGCCTGTGTGTGTGTGTGTGTGTGTGCTTTTATTGACATGAAATTATATTAATGAAAGACTTATTGACAGCTGCGATCAATCAGGCGGCTTGACAAGCACATTACGCATACGCCACCGACTCACAATGCAGAACGGAACGCAACTTTAACGACCTTTATTGTGTATTTTATTTATTATATAATGCGTGTTGATATTACAGTTGCATAATGCAACATCAGCCCGCATAGCACTTAACTGTGCAGAGCAGCGCGCAATAAGTTGATTAATTAACTAACAATAATGAAGGCGGAGCGTAATCATTTAATTAATTACATTAAAGCCATATTATAAATCCCCTCGAATGTGCTGCAATTTGTTCTCATTTTTTTAATTGTTTCCTGCAGGAAATGGACTTTGGCACCATCATGTGCTGGGCGGACAACAATGTAGGCCAACAAAAGGAGCCCTGTGTATTCCATTTGATAGCGGCGGGCAAGCCGGAAGCGCCCACCAATTGTACCGTGGTCAATCAAACGTCCGACTCACTGGAGGTCTACTGTCTCGAAGGTGAGTCCACAGCTGAAAGGCAGCCGGCGAATGCTAGCTCGAGTAATTGCTGATGAGCCAATCAATAGTCGAAAAAAGGGAAATAAAATATATATTCTTCCTTTATACATATGTATGTATGTATAAATATTTATATATGTATCTGTGGTAAAAATACGTTGGCCACAACTCAAGCAGTGTGCTGCATGGCCAGTTAAATGACCAGAAGACGAGAGTTTCGGGAGAGTGTATGTTGTTGTTGTTGTTGTTGTTGTTGTAGTTGTAGTTGTTGCTGTTGTGTTTTCTGCAGCGCTTTTTAGACTCATTTAAAATACATGAGCAACTTAAGTGCACTTTGGCAGCAGCCAATGCGAATGAGAATGCGAGTATGTGCCTCTGGGCATATGTGTATGTGTGTGTGTGTGTGTGTGTGTGTGTGAACAACTTCCTTCGAGATAGAACAGAATAATAAAAATGCAATGAAAGCATAAAACTAGAAAAGGCAACACGCTGAGAGATAGTCCATATACAAAATGCTTCAGAATGAGAGCAGATTGCAGTGGAACGAAGAATGCCTGGGAAATGTTGCTCAGTTCAAACAGCCAAAACGGCTAAAAAAAAAAAAAAAAAAAAAAAAAAAATATATATATATATATATATATATATATATATATATATATATGCATGCAGGCAAAGCATGAAATGATGAAGTAGTTGCACACTGCACTGCCAGCGGATCCAGAAACAGAGAGTGACTTGGGGTAAGCACAAATTTGTACATACAAAATGTTTTGGCTTGTTATGCAACTTGCTGGCAGTAAGCGTAAGCGTAAAAGTAAAAGTAAAAGGAAAGGCAAAAGCAGCAGCAGCAGCAGCAGCGCAGTGGCAGTGGCAAATGCAAAAGGCGAAAACTTTAAATACAAATTCAATTCGCATATTTTATGAGCTACGGAAATGCAAAACTGAGAGATAGATGCAGAGAGAGCGAGTGGGAGAGAGAGGGAGAAAGAGAGATGATAACTGCCAGCAAAGCGCAAAATAAGCAGCACAAATTGTTGCTGTCGAGTTTAAAGTTCAGTTCCATAGCGCTGCATATTAGCAGACTGAAGACGACGAACAGCGAACAGCGAACGGCGAACGGCAGACGTCGGAAGTCGGACGTCGGACGTCGGACAACAGACGAGAAATGTCCTCACAAATTGCGACTGTAAGAGTTGAGTTTATGATGCATTTATGCGGCCCTAGAAATGCTCTCAACTGCAAAGCAAGGCGAATACCAGAAGCAGCGACAGAAAACAACAACAGCAGCAGTAGCAGCAGCAGTAGCAGGAGCTGGGGCAGGAGGAGCAGCAGGAGCAGAAGCATACCGAGGCGACTGCTGAAAGTGCAACAAAAAGCGCATAATAGTTGCATACTTGATGGCGCATTCCCCGTTACTGTTAGCCATCTTGACAATCCCACTGCTTGGCCTGGCCAGCTCCTGCGCTCCTGCAACAGCATTCCTGCCATAAATGTCAAATGCTTCAAGCCTCAACTCAGCTCGCCATAGGATTCAATTACATTTGACAATAAAGCAACTTGACTACTCTCATACAAATTATGTTTTCAAACTTTTCCGTCATTCAATATAATATTATTTTTTTTGTTTTTGTATTTATTTTTATTTTATTATTATTGTTATTTTTTTTAATATATTATATTATATTTCTTAATTTTTAATTAATTTTAATTTTAGTTTCATTTCCTTCAATTTTATTTTATTTATTTTATATATTTTAATTGCATTCAATATTTTTATATTACCTATTATTTTACTCAAATATGTGAAATAATTTATTGCTCAGCCCTAACTGGTCCAGCTTGCGTATACGCCTCGGTATAGCTTGGGGCTTTAAGCTGGCCTCTTTAAGCATTTTATGTACATTCCTGGACCCCGCAGCCCTGCTAATTTAGTGGCTGCACATTATTATCATAGTCATCAGCATCATTAAAACTTTAACGCAACTTGGTAAGCAGCAAGAGCAACACAAGCAGCCGCAGCAGCAACAGCAACAAAACACGATACTTTTTATATTGCACTTTACATTAAAGCAAATGACGTGGTGCCCCAGCCCAAACAAGGGCGAACCCGGGGCCCCTACGCTGGCTTGTTTCTTTTTTATAATAACTCAACTTAAGCTGCGGTCGCTGCACGTTTCGACTTTAATAAGCCAGCACGCAAGTTGGCCAACTTGCCGCGGCAGGAGGCGGGGCGGGCGACGAGGCAGCGAACTTGCCTCGAATTCAATTCAATGCGCGCTGCTGCGGCTCACAGACAACTTGAGGGCAAGTTGCCTGCCCCAGGGCGCTTCTTAGCCAACCATTTCAGTTGGCTCTCGCCCACCCTCTCCCCTACCTCCCGCTCCCTCTCTCACTCGCTCGCTTGCGCTCTTTGTCTGTTTTTTTCATGTGCTCTCTGAGCGAAACAAAGCAGCGAGGCAACTAACCAAACTCATCAAGCGTCGGTTTAATATAATAAAATTTCAGTTTATAACATTTCGCTCGCTCCCGCTGCTGCTGTTGCTGCCGCTGCTGCTGCTGCTGCCGCTGCTGCTGCTGCTGCTACTGCTGTTGCTTTATTATTTTTACTCGACTTGGGCAATTTTCATTGTAGCTGGCTCCAAGTAAATAAAATTAACCCATTACAATGAAGTTTTTTGTTGCTGTTGTTGGCTGTGCTGTGTTGGGCTGGCCTGGCTCGGGTTGGCTCGGCCCGATGCTGCGGCAAATTTCATTAGCTAAACGTTTTAAAGTGCGCACAAAATGCTTTCGGTATGGCCGTGGCCAAGCAACGAGCGACCCCTGGCCACAAACAATGATGCCACACAAAGGCCTTTGAAGCAAAGGCGAAGCACATTCTTTTGGCTCTATTTTCGTGCAGCCTTTGTGCGCAGAGCCACCATCAACAGCGCCACGAGCTCTACACGAGCCTACAACAAACAGCGGGCGGCCATAATAAGTACAACAATGCTGGCTAAATTCATAGCAACATATAAAACATTTTATACAACAATTTATCCTTGAGTTACCACGCCCCTTTCCCTATTTCTCTCTCTCTCTCTCTCTTTCTCTGTCTTCGTTTGGCGCGCTGACCAACTCAAACGCCGCCTTTATTACCAAATATTTTAACATTTTTCGCAAGTGTTTTAAGCCGACTTTTGTGTCTTGAGCAAAGTACCATTTGAGCGGTAGCAACGACAACGACAACAACCACAACAACGCCAACTACAACGACAGCAACAGCAACAACTTTAGCCGCTTATTTTTCGGCAAAGGGTGCCACACTTGCAAATGGTGGGCGGGGCACACAATTCCCATTCAAGTGGGCGGCCAGTTCTTTTGTGGTGTTATTAAATGGCATTCAAAATGAAGCTTTAGATTACTTCCAACATTTTTGTTAACTTCGCTTGTGTCCCACGAGCCCCCAAAGTGGCGGTGTCCGCAAAGGCGCGACAAAATATTTGCGCAGATAAAACCCCAAAATTAAATGGGCATATTTTCAAGTTCTAATCATTTCATTCAGGTGTTTAATTGCAGACTGCTGCAGCATTACCTTAACAATTAGCAAGCCATAATAATTATACTAGAATAGAATGTAATATGCAACAAATATCAGAGTGAGTTTTCAGAGTTTCCCAATCGATTGTCGTCTAGTGTTGCAGTAGTATTGGTGCGGAGCTGAGAGTGAGTGTGCCCGTGTATCTGAGTGAGTGCTTCCCATAGGCATCTCATTTCTGTCAAGTTTCTCTCTCTCTCTTTTTCTGTCTCTATCTATCTATCTCTCTCGCTCTGCATAAGAGCATAGCCTATGTTTCTGGTTGTGATTGGCGTGGATCACATCAAATTTCTCAGCACAAAGCTGATTTACTGCTGATCGAACTTGGAGTTCAAATAGACTATCATATTGGAATCCGTATGATATATTCGCTATATTAATGTATTTTTAAGATATTGATAATTTGGTATTGCAGTTCCATAAACAATTTCCTCTCTAATAAATTTTATGATAAATTAATAATGATAAATTAATAATATATACAATAATTTTTTTTTTATTTTTTTCAGGCTTTGATGGTGGAATGCGTCAATGGTTCATGATGGAGATCTATGATCAACACAATGGCATGCTGCAGGCCAACATCAGCGCGAAGTTCGCCGTGTTCAGTGTGAGCGGCCTGGATGCGGGTCGTCTCTTTCGGATCTATATCTACGCTGTCAATGGACGCGGCCGCAGTGAGGCGGTGCCCGTAGATGGCTACACTCTGAAGGCTGCCGAGAAGCAAACTGGTAAGTGCAATGGACAAGGGGCAAGGGGAGGGTAAGGGGAGTGTGTTTCATATTGCGCAAATGTTGCGCCAGGCAGTTGTCAAAGACGTTAGAATTCCTAATGCATTTTTATGTGGGGCGTGTATTTGGCATTTATGAATGTTTTATGTTAATCTCTCTCGTGCCAACAAGTGCTTATCGACACGGAGTCCGTCAGTCGGGAGCAGTTGCATAATTTTGCATGAGATTTAGTTTGCATAGAGAAGGAAATTGAAGTCTCAGGCCGTCTTGCAATTTAATTACGCTAAACTGCTCAATGAATTGTAAATTTCGCAGCGGTACAGAAAAACTTTTCCCTTGCATTTGGTCCACCCTAAAAAAAAATGAGAGAAAATGTAGCAGAACCAAAATTATGCAGGCGACCGAGTACCGAAAAAATATGAAGAAAAATTATATAAAATGATTAACATTAATGAATTGTCTTTAGGAGGCTTGCGCCTGGCATGAAATGAAACGCCGCGCAAAAGCAAATTGTAATACTAATTAGCTGAAGCAAAATGCCGTAAAGCAAAGTTTAGAAGAGCTTTTTCCATTGGCTGGGCCAAATGAGCTCGGGACGCGGAGTCATGCTATACTACTTGGCAAAGACAGAGGGTTTTTTATTTATTTTTTTTTTATTTTGGTAAACAACTTGAGACGTCATTTTAATTTTTCATAAAGTCACAACAAAAGTGTAAAAGAAAAATGAGGAAATATGACGAGGGCGTTTGAAGTGCTAGCAGTTGGCAATTAAAAATACTGAATACCCTTTCTGAATATTAGAAATTTTATTTTTTGAATGCTAAAAATATTGAAAATAGAAATATTTAAAAATATAATAATATTAGTAATAATTCGACAATGATGAAATTTTGATTGGCATTCAATATTTTGTTCCTTTTGTAGAGCCATAATTTTATTAAATAAAAATGATAGTCTGAAAAATATATTTAAAATGATATGATATATTAGACTTTTATTTTTATTTATTTATTTATTTTTTATTTTTTTAATTTAAACAGTATTAAGTCATCTTATTTTAATTTGTTGAGAATTTTGACTATTTTATTATTTTTTTATTTGATTTCTTATTTATTTTATTTTTTATTATTTTTTTTTTTTTAGAATTATTCTAGTCATATAAGAGATGCGCTGTCAAGTCGTGGAGTGAACCGGAAATACCGGATTGGCTGTAGTGTAAAGTAAAAATTAGCATTTATCCGTTTTATTAAGGGGCCACTGTTTGGGGATGTTGCTTAGCGACGCTTTGTCTAATTGGACATTAAAACGACTCCGAATTAAACATGATTTCAATTTAATATTTGTTCATCCTGTGTGCTGACTGGCTCTCTTTCCCGCTCTTTGCAGTTGCATTGACCTCGTACAAGGGCAGCGCCCAGGGCCCAAACAGCTTCGAGCTGACGCCCATCCTATCCATTGGCATATTTGTGGGCATTCTGGTGGCTCTGGTCTGCATTGGAATTGGCACCGTCGCCGCGCTGAAGCTGCGCTCGCACAAGCATCAGCCGCAGCAGAAGTTCGCACACTCGAATGCGAAATTCTCACGTCCGGGCAATTTGCAAATTAAAGATAAGATCTCATTGCCATTGAGCCACTCCGAGGAGATGTACGACGAGAAGAATCCCGATGTCGTGCCCTACAACGAGGGTAAGTGCAATTGCAATCCCGGCCAATCTTCCGTTCGCCTCAAGATAAATGCGACCGGGTGCTCTGGCTCCGTAATTTATGAGCGTTAGCAAAATAAAAAGGGGCTTAAGTACAAGCCGGCTGCCAGCCCTCCAGCCCGCTAGCCTAGCCAAACAAACATGCTCGAGAGCATGTGAGTGAGTGGGAGTATGTGTGTGTGTGTGCGTGCGTGTGTGAGAGGCGGGGCTGGATTTTTGTGCCAGTGTTGAAATATTTAAATGACAGCTAATTGCTCGCAGGCTGGTCTAAGCTGCCTTTGCCATGTGTTTGTTTGCTCATATGTCTGCAGTCAAGTGGCAGTCCAACTCTTTGTCACTCATCTTGCGTCTCGCTCTCTCGCTTGCTCGCTCTAGTGCTGTGCAGTAGTACTTTAAGTTCGCAGAGAATTCGGCCAGTGCACACGTCCTTAGCTTGATTAATGGCAATCAGGAAATCAGCGGCAGCTTTACCAGCTCAACAATTTAATCAATTTTCCTAACGTACAGCAATTTGATGGCAAATGCCGAAAAGAAAATTGAACGTTGCTTCAGCGAAAATCACCAACAGATTTCCTCAAAAAGGGGGAGGCACCCGGCCAGCCAAAAACTTTTGCCTTTTGCGCC